CACTCTCCCCTCTCGTTGCTATGCATCACCATGATCTTGTGTGCGCGTAGGAATTTTTTTGAAATTACTACGTTACCCAACACAACGTTCAATCAGGCGACTTCAACGACCATCTCCCGAAGCAGACGGAGGAAGAATGCCAGTAATCCTCTAGGCATCTTCCCTTCGTTGTTGTTTTTCCAGCGAATTTGCCAACTTGTTCTGCCATGTTCTCTCTCTCGGTTTGAGATAAAGTGTTGTTGACGTGTTTGTGGTGAAAATTGAATGAATCCATCAAACCAACTGTATTCCATCAATGATCATAGAATATAATTATTTAATATTGTAATTAAAGGATAATCCTTCGCGTAAAGTACCTCGTGCGGTTTATCATATGGCAAGCGTCTCGACGCTCCCCACGTTCCACGAACCGATGGATCTCTTCGTCACATGTGTTCCCCTTGTATATATTCTATGATCATCGATGTAATACAACTGATTGGATTGTTTCATACAGTTTTCACAACAACACGTTATCAGCACTTTGTCTCAAACTAAGAAAGAGAAATTGGCAGAACTCACCATCAAACTCGCTGGAAAAACAACAACAAAGGGAAGAAAGTAAAGATAGGCAACAATTCGCAGATGGTGAATGGTCATCGACATTGCCTGATTGCACGTCACCATTGTTGTATTGGCGAGCTTCATCACCACCATCGCAATGCAGACGACCTTCGTCCGTTCAGAGGGCATCAACATGACTTCCGTCTGTTTGGAAAGCGTCCCTGCATCCTTCATTGAGGACATGGTGCCCGAGGAATGAGCGCTCACCACCATGTCAGACCTTCTGATGCTCAACCCGATATGGCCATGCCGGTGGCAACACCATTTCCAACACGGATTCTGGTAGGACCAGCCGCTCCAATGCTTCACAGGGACGAAGTGATGGAGCCCGTAGATGACACGATGGACATCGACATCGCCGACATCGAGCCAAAACTCATAGCTCCTTCACTGCGATGGCACCGGCTGCAAGACTAGGGCCCGTGTCCAACTCTGCTACCATCTCCACCACAAGACTACGGCGTCGAGGAGGAGGCTGAGCCCGTGGCACTAGGACCATCGAAATCTCGGACATGCCGTCTCCAACTTCAGCACATGAGGAGGTGGACACCAGACCGATCAAGTGTTAGCCCCGGGCTGTTGTGCGTGGGACGCCTTCAACAATGGAGCAAGCAGCTCTGCTGCCCCATCGTAGTTGCCACACCATGACAGCTTAATCGTGTCACACACGTCGTGCAAGCTAAGGCTGGCGCTGGTCATCAGCCAGGGGAGTGGAGCCTAGAGTCTTGGACTCAAGAATGGGCACTTCGTTGGAGTCTCACGCGGGACGCGGCTCCCTGGTGCTTCTTCAGAGGAGGAGTAGGGCGAGCTCGTGCTCTCTGCCCCTCGTTGTTGGGGTGACCATGGCAGATGGCCGAGAGGTGCCCACTATCGTCCCTTTGGATTGGGATCGGGAGCGGTTGGTCAATGGGGTCGAAAAAAATTTATCTCGCCACCTCCCTTATCCGATCGTGTGGTTGGGCTAAAGTTACCCACGCTGGGACAAAAGGCCGGTTATGGCCTATGAACGGACATGCTCTGTACGAGCATCAGTTTTTTTATCAAAACAAAAATAAGGGTGTCCTGAGCCATGGTACTAGGCTACCTAGTTTTAGACTATTGCTATTTTTCGTATTTCTTTTCTGATTAGATTCTAGGTTTTTTAGTTTTTATACATATGTGTTGTGTGTAATTTCTAGCATACCACTATGTGATGTCTGCACGTTTATATCAACATATGTATGGATGCAATTTTAATTGCTATATGTTGATTATGCTTGAAAAATGATATGGCTACTTAAAAAAAATTGCACGCGACTTATGCATTGCATTTATCACAATGTATAACTTTGTTCACAAGTGCGAGGTCTACATCACCATGTAGTGATTATCTTCAAAGTGTTTTAATTAACACAAGGTCGTGCGAAGTAACATAAAAAAAGCAAGGTCTACACTACTTAGAAGTGATTACCTACATGTGATTAATGCAAAAATGAAGGCACGCAAATTATGGCATTAAAATAGCCATAAGAATAAGGTTGATTACAAACTACCTCTATGTTCTATACAAAACAAAGATCTATGTCATGTTACGCTGATTATCTTTTTTTGTGTGTAGAAAGTCACATTTTGTGTCGTTTACGCTTTTCCTAGACCTTTATATTTGAATCAAGCATATTATTTTACACACAATTATTTTACATGAGGGCAAATTAATGCGCATGATATCTTCATGCAGGGTATGGTTGACATATCCTGAAGGAATTTGTTGAGTTTGCCATTGATGACAGAAACTATCTGACCTGGCCCATGGATGTCTAGATTAACTTGGCGACCAATTTTTTTATCTGATATGCACTATAACCACGTCTGCTCAGGGAGCTCCTGGCCTCCTGCTATCACATATATGGCAAAGTATGCTGCTTTGCACTTTATTGGACACTACCTTGATCCTGCTCTGAAAGAAGATGTGATGGAGGAAAGTCCTCTATCACTCTAGAACTCCTTAAAGGAGCGCTAGGATCAACAGAGATCGGTGATGTTGTCTGAAGCGCAAAGATTCCAAGCACTTATCTGCTCTCGGGATTTAGGTTTGTTATAGCATACTGCGACAATGCACTTCGGGATGCAGATCTCATGAAAAGACAATCTCCACTTTTCATCCCAATATGAGGATACTTGTTCAAAAACATCGTCATCGGGAATACAAGCATTTTGAGTTGGTATATGCACTTCTTCAGGCAGAAAAGCATAGTGAAATTATTGACAAGAATAATCTATCTTGTCCAATGGGAACATTGTCATTGCCTGAAGCGCATTTCAATTCTCAGAACACTCAAAAGTTTCATGGTTCTAAAAAGAACCATAGGAAGTTTAAAGAAAAGTGGAGACGTAATGAGAACTAGAATATCAATGAAGTTTAAAAGGGCAAGAATCATTTTGAGGAAAATGACAAGGGTAGCACCTCTGAAGTTTGCTATAGGTGCGGTTGTACTACTCATCATGCAAGGAAGTGTACAACTCCTAAGCATTTGGTGACAAATATTTCCCATGTGAATAATATTTCTCATATATGTTCCGAGCACCAATGATATTGGTTTCTTCTATAAAAAAAACAAGAGAGAGCCATGGTATGTTAATACGATGTTGGATATTTGTCAGACCCCCATAATGCTAGATTGCAGACTGGTAGTGTCTTCTTACATGGAGGTACCGCCTTCTCTTGAAAGTCAAAAAAGCAAACCTTAGTGGCTACGTCCACCAATCACTCTTAGATAATTGCTTTTATACAAACCATCTCGGGAATGTGTATTGCTTCGCACAATGATGAACTTTGTCCAAGGTTCAGGTGGGATTGGTTTGCTGCAATCGCCTACTATTATCTATGAAGATCCTACTTATATTTTACGAATGCACACAAGTCATACTAAGAGCTATATCACAAAGCATATTGCTCCTAAGCTGTTTTATTCCCATGAACTTCAAAAGAATAGGGAAATAAATAGTTTGCTAACGAAGTCGCTGATTTATTTACCCAAGTCTTTACCAAGTTCTCTGTTTCATAAATATGTAGATGAAATTGGTATGATGCGACTTTGTGACTTGGAAAAATCAGGGGGAGAAATCCTATAACCTGTTAAGATCATCAATATTGCACTCTTTTCCTTTGTGAGTTTTTTCTAACGATTTCTCATGTAAAGTTTTTAATGAGACAATATCAGTGCAAGCATGGACTACATATGTCATTTTCTTCTTATTTTCTCACTGGATTTTTAGAAGTTTTTCATGGCAATACCGTATATTCCTCCTTAATTTCTCCCACAAGGTTTTGGAGGATGATTCCAAGTATGATCGGTTGCAAGGACAGTTAATGATTAAGGGGTGTTTAGGATTTGTTTAATCTTATAATTAAAGGATAATCCTTCCTTGTAAAGCGCCACGTGGGGTTGACCATATGGCAACAGTCCCGATGCTTTCTACGCCCCCACGAACGGATGCATCTCTTCATCACGTCTATTCCCCTTTATGATCATTCATGGAATACAGTTGGTCGGATTGATTCATTTAGTTTCCACAACAACTCTTCAAAAGAACAATTCAAAGTTGTAAAACGATTTGGCACTGTTTACCAAATAAAGTGGCGAAAACGCAAGAATCAAACACTAATAATTTGTTAATTCTCTGTTTTGCTTTCCCTAACAGCTACTAACCTCCCACTACAATTAATCCATGTGTCTTTTAGCAGCTTCAAGTATTTTTTTTATATAGTGAAGCTTCGGCTGGCACAGCTCTACAATTTGGCCCAAACCAGTCGAGTCGAGAAAGGCGCCGCCTGACCGATGAGTTGCACTAGATGAAAGAGACTGTCTGCATCCGAATTATGGAAGGACATAAATAAATAAATAAAAAATGAGAGAAATGGGAACTCTATGATTCAATTCTTTATTATTAATTTTTTTATTTTACAAATAACTGAGTATGGTACAAAAAATTATCTCTAGCTAAATACTGCCACCCAAGATACTTACCAAAAGAAAAAGATACTTACGAAAAGAGCAGTAAAGAACAAAGAAAACGTGGCCCGGCCGAGAAAACACACATATGCATCCAAAAATGTGTGCCCCTCACCATGTTTCCAAATGCTTTTCTTTAAAAACTAGAATTGCTTACCTAGTTTATGTGACCGGAGAAGAGCTGATTGCTACTTCCCTTCTCCGACGACTGACTTCCGTCTATCGAACTTTGAATATGCAGAGCACCTTCCTCTTCCTCCCTCCCGACGACGACGCGCCAGGCAAGTCGTTTTATAACCAGCCAGCTTATCTTGCTGACTCTTCTATATATGGCTGTCATTCTGCATTCTACAGCATCACAATAATTTAAGAGGAAGCACACCTGCTCTGAGAGTGCAGCCGTCAATGGCTCAGCCGGAGCAGAGCAAGCAGCCATGGGAGTACACCCTGCGGAAGTACCTCCTACTGCTGGCCACCCTGGTGGTCAACGTGACGTACGCCGCGGGCTTCAACCCGCCGGGGGGCGTCTGGCAGGAGGACCCCCGCAACGACGGCCAACGACTCGCTGGCGACCCCATCATCCGCGACATCCACTACCGCCGCTACCTCGCCTTCTTCTACTGCAACGCCACTGCCTTCGCCGCCTCACTCGTGGTCATCATGCTCATCCTCATCCTCGCCGTTCGGCACGACAAGGAGAAGGAGAAGGGGAAGAAGGACGCCGTTCAGGTCATCAAGCCGCTGCGGGCCGTCATGGTGCTGGACCTGCTCAGCCTCGTGGTGGCCGCTGTCTTCGCCTACATTGTGGTTCTCAAGTTGCTGGACCGGTGTCTTCCAGACAAGAACTCTGGCTCTAGCTCCAACGGCGGCATGCCCAACTCTGAAACCAACAACTGCGCCGTGCCTGGCGCCAGCGCAATTCCCGCCCCTGACCCTGAATCTGACCGCAAGGTCAAAGAAAAGGAGTCCCAGAAGAAGCTGAAAACCGAAGAACGGCTCTGCAAGGTCCTGATGCTTCTCGCGACGTTCGCCGTGAGCATCACATACGTCGCCGGACTGAGCACGCCTGGTGGCTTCTGGGACAGCACCGGGGGCAGCCACCGCCCAGGCGACGTGATTCTCAGGGACCACCACAGCACACGCCTGACGGTGTTTTTACTCTTCAACACCACGGCGTTCGTGGCGTCCCTGCTCATCGCCGTGCTGCTCATCATCGACGGCAAGAAGCTCCGCGACAAGACGGCTCGGTTTCACGTGCTCTACGTGTGCATCTTCGTAGCGCTTGTCGGCCTCATTGGCGCATACGCCGCTGGCAGCTGCAGGAAGACCGACACCACCGCCTACGTGGTCAGCCTGGTTGGCGCTGTTCTGGCATACATCCTGCTCCACGGCTTCTACACTTGGTATTACTCCAATTCAGCCCTACAAACTGATGAAAATCAGCAGACTGGTGACAGGTACTGATGAAAAACAACACATACGACTGCAGTTACACTGCTTTCTTCTTTATTTCTCTGCAACTAAACTAAACTATGTTTCTTCTTTCTCTGCAATGTATATGTATTAATGCAGTGGTAGGGAGGCTCTGGACAAGGCTCGCTCTCTTGTTCTACTGCTCGCCACTCTTGCCGCCGCCATCACCTACACAGCAGTGTTGGACCCGCCGGGTGGCGTTTGGCAGGACAACGGTGACGGGCACATGGCTGGCGACCCCATCCTCCTCGCGACAAACGCTAGGAGGTACAAGGCCTTCTACTACTGCAACTCGGTTGCGTTTGTGGCCTCATTGGTGGCCATCGTCTTGGTCCAGATGGAGAAGCTAGTCAAGCACCATGTGCTGGAGGCAGCCATGATACTCGACCTGTTTGGCCTCATCGGTGCATATGCCGCTGGGAGCTGCCGAAACGTGAACACCTCCATTTACGCCATGGCTTTGGCAGGGGCTGTCTTGATCTATGTGGTGATCCATGTTGTCTTCTTCACGCTGGATCACAGGGACCAGAACAACAACGCCCAAGAAGATCAGTTGCTGGAGAAGAAGCGCAAACGGTTGCTCCTCTTCGCGATCTTGACCGTGACCATCACCTACCAAGCCGGCCTCACCCCTCCTGGTGGCTTCCTGCTCCAGGACGACAAGCTCGGCCACCATGCCGGTGACCCGGTCCTCTTGTACAACTACCCACGCCGCTACCATGCCTTCTTCTATTGCAACTCGGTGAGCTTCATGTTGTCCATCGCCCTCATCATCCTCCTGGTGAACCCCAATTTGTACAGGCCAGCAATACGAAGCAATGCGCTATCTGTTTGTACGGCGGTGGGTTTGTTTTGTTTGATGGGGGCGTACGCCGCCGGAAGCACGCAACACATCAAGACATCCATCTACATTTTCGTGTTGGTGGTCGTGGTCCTCCTCGTTGCAGCCGGACTGCTGCTAGTATTTTTGTTGAGGGAACTGAATAAAAATGGCAATTCAGCAGCTGCTACGCCATCCAGACCCACTGGACAGGAGGACGGAGAAGAAGTAAACAGAAATGACATCTCAGTAGCTGCTCCGCGATCCAGACTGACTGGACAGGAGGACAGAGAAGAAGAAAACAGAAATGGCATCCCGGCAGCTGCTGCGCCATCCATACCCAATGAACAGGAGGAAGAAGAAAAAGCAAAGAAGGAAGAAAGGAAGAACCACGCGAGGCGCAAATACCTGATGCTGCTAGGTATCTTGGTGGCGAGCGTAGCCTACCAGGCCGGCCTGGAACCACCCGGCGGAGCGTGGCAGAGCAGTGGGAACGGGTACGAGGCGGGTGATCCGGTGATGCATAACAACATGAGGCCCCGGTACCTTGTCTTCTTCTACAGCAACTCCATTTCCTTTGTGGCTTCCATCGTTGTCATCATCATGTTGCTGCCGCATTGGCTGCCAGACGAGAGGGAAGAAGAATGGAAGACATGGTCGCTGAAGGTGATGAACCGGACGATCAGACTGGATCTGTTTGCTCTCCTGGTGGCCTATGCAGCCGGCTCCAACAGGGGGTGGAAGACGTCTGTGGTTGTCGTTGCGCTCATCATTGCCGTGCTGGGCTACTTTGCAATCCACATGAAGCTTTCGACATGGTCTGAAAGTCGCCATGAGAGCCAGCAGAGCAGCAACGGAAATAATGCAGTGTGACTCATTATCAGTGCGCTCTGTGGTGTAGCTCCAGTAACGTGAGGGCAGTCACAAAGTAACCCAAGTTCAGGGCGATTGATATCTGTAATCAGCTTAGCTCTGTCCAATCTCTCTGCTCAAGCTAGCTCGCCCTGTTTACAGATTCCTAGTCTAGTTGATGTAATCGGATAAATAACCTGCATCCCAATTGGAGGATGCTGACATTGTCTGTCGGCTTACTGGGCGTGTGTGTGTGTGTGTGTGTGTCTTCATCCAATGAATATGCGTGGTAGGTGACATTTCCAGATCCTATATGCATTCTGACTCATAAGAACTTGAATGGGAAGTGCATGAGTTGCAATTACATTTTGTTACTACTGAAACATGCTGTGTCACTTGGTGCAGTCTCAAGTATTGTGCAATCCTGATAATTAGTAATCACTGATCGAGAGTAAACATACCTTGAACGCGGGGCCCGACCATCGGACGCCAGCGGCGTGATCTCTGCAGCGGGGCAATTCACCGAACACCTGCAGGGCGCCCGATCCCCGCATGCAGATGGAGGCAAACAAGGCGAGCAAGGACGCCGTCGTGCGTGCCGTCGTTGCCGTGGATCGATAGAGACGTGCGCTGGAGTTAGAGGTTGGCACGATTTGGTCGGAGAGGATTCCTCGAGCGTGAGCCGCGTCGATCGGAAGCAGTTGCTCGAGGCGTGAATGCAGGTGCTGCGCGAATCCAGGTGGTTTAAGAGGTCGCTCCGCGCGATCTTCCGCCGGGAGGGACAAGGAAAGGGGAAGGCCACCGCGTAGCGCCGCGCTTCCTGGGTGCAGGTTAGGACGGGGCGAGGCGTCGCCGGCGGTCGCCGGAGAGAAGGAGCGGCGCCTTGGCTCCTGGCTCCCGCGCGGCTCTGTATCGTGAGGGGCTTTCAAAAAACAAACCGTGAAAACCGGCTAGAGCAACAAACCTCCTGAGTTCTGACTTCACAAGTACAGTAAAAAAAAACCTGACTTCCTAGTTTTTTTTTGCCAGCAGTAGGCCGAAAAATACACTTTGATCAGCAATAGGCCGAAAAGTCCCTGGGGCCCACCTTTTCGCGTGAATAGGAGGCTGAAGCTGCATGACTGCGCTCTTAAGCTTATGTTAGGCTGAAATGTTTTTTTTTTATTTTGACTTATGAATGTTGTGCAACCATTGCCCATGTTAGACATTGAAAAAATATATTTTCACACAACCATTTTTTTAATATTTTCCCGCCAACTCTTTTCCTCCATATGCTCCCGCCATATGTTCCTGTCATAAGTTCCAGCCAACCATTTCCCTCCATACCGCAGTCGTTCTTTCCCGCCATTTTCTTCTCTCTACCTATAAAACCCCCTTCACACGAAGGTCGATAAGCAGTCAAGTTTAGTGTAGTCAAGCTGTCTGATTATCCTTTTGATTGAAGTTTTCACCCTGGGATGAGCAAATGTCTTCTTAGGCTAGCCACCGATTTCAGGATGGACAATAAGATAGTTCCATGGGACAAACTCATCGGTAGTGACACCATACTGAATGACTTGGCTCACGCATTACGTAGGTCTGGGTGGCCAGAAAGGACATATGAGGAGGTACGTAAAGAACTTCTTAAGTTGCATGAAAGGTGGAAGAAGGTAGTGCAGACGAAGAGTGAAAACTTCATAAGGACTGCATCGAAGCATACATATTTATGGACTGCCGACAGCGAAGACGAAGACGATATCTTCATGCCGAGCACCAAGGCCAAGAGTACCGCACCGTCGAATGACAAAGAGTATTGCATCGTCGAATGGCAAGAGTGCTGAATCGACGTAGGGCAAGAATACCACATCGTCGAAGGGCAAGAGTGTTACATCGACGGAGGATGACAATGATACCTTCATGTAGTATGTAAGCTGTATTTTTTTAAGTTCAGCCCTACCATTTAATTCAAATGTACTTGTATCTTAATTATTGGTTGCAGTCTCTTTGGAAATGTAACTTGAATAACAATGCGGATTAATAATAATATGTCTCTCGCATACACAAAACAATATATGTCTCCTAATCAGATTCATAAGTCAAAAATAAAAAAACATTTCGGCCTAACATAAGCCGAAGAGCGCGGCCATGCAGCTCCGTCCTCCCGTTCATGCGAAAAGGTGGACCCCAGGGACTTTTCGGTCTACTGCTGACCAAAGAGTACTTTTTGGCCCACTGCTGACTAAATAGTACCTTTAGGCCTACTGCTCACCAAAAAGGCCTTTTCAGCCCAGCTACGTATCTCTTCGGCCAATGCGTAACCGGAGAGTCCTTTTCGGCCAACTGCCGACCGAAAACACCCTCTTCGGCCCACAGGAAGCCGACGGGGTCATAGTTTTTTTTTTGCATTAGGTGCTATAGTTTCCGATTTTGCTATAAAAACGTGATAGTTTTGAAGAAAAATCTCATTTTGACAAGTAGGATCCAAGTTGAAAATTGCTAATGGAGCTTAAAGTTTGAAAATTCAAACTTTAAAATTTAAAGTTTCAAAATATTCTAAGAAAACCACATGTACTACATTGGGATGTACTCTATAAGTGTAAAAAACCAATTTTATCTGTGTAGCTCACATCATAACACATTTCATCATGAAAAACTACACACTTGTAGCCAACATCCCTATGTACATGTGTATTTTTTTCAAAAAAAAATAATGACACTTCAAAATGTGAATTTTGAAGTGTTTAAAGTTTTGGGCTCCATGAATCTACTTTCCATCCGAGTGTCCTACGTAAATGAGTTCACTCCAACTAAACATATGATATTATATCTCAAAAACTCTAAATTCTCATTCTCTCTATCTCTCTCTAATTACCTGGAACCAAGCCATCCTCACAAGTTTGGTAGCGACGACTAGAGTAGTCATTTTTTTTTATATTGCGGGGCAGGAACTTGTATTACTCAACTTGTCACATGATTAGAATCAGCTAAAGATAGCTCAAGAGATCTCGGGGGTCCTAAACAGATCCAAGTTGTGGTTCTCCCCTCTAGCCGAGAAAAACTAGCTAGACAACCATTAACCATTAATGAGGGTAGTACAAGCTCCTTGGATGTTGGGTTTCCTTCACCACAGAAACACACAAAACGGTTTATCTGTGTCACTGAACTCAATCAACTTCCGAGCTTCACTAGAATCAACCTCAATTTCAATGGGTAGTCCGGTCCGCATCAAAGCCAGAGACAAACCTCCCATGCATGCACATAACTCTTCTTCAAGTGTATCCCTACACGAAAATAATTGTCTGTGGGATGAGAAGATGGTAGCTCCTTCACCATCCCGAAGGATCATACCTAATCCAGCAGAGCCATCAACATCAAAAGAACCATAGGAATTGAGCTTCACCCATCCTTGCGGAGGGGGCGACCATGCCGTCTGAAGCTCCGAAATCGTCATTGCATGTGAAGATTTTGGCAAGTGCTCATAACTGACTACACACCTTTCCCTTTGCATGGGTCAACAATAGGATCATGTGACAATTCCTAAGATGGATTGAAGATAATTGCATAGGAAATCTTCTTGATACATCCATTTGTGGTGGCTTCTTCTCATGAGTGATTTCATTCTTGTTATGCCAAATCCTCCAAAAAGTCATCAAAATCATACACCGCTCAATTTCTTTCAAGGGATCTTTCAACATGGTGCGGCTAATTTGCTACTCCCTCCGTTCGGAAATACTTGTCATCAAAATGGATAAAAGGGGATGTATCTAGATGTATTTTAGTTCGAGATACATCTCTTTTTGTCCATTTTGATGACAAGTATTTTCGGACGGAGGGAGTACCTAGCAGACACATCTAATATATGAACTCAACATGTGGTGCTCCTATCATATTTCCTATTATTTGTAAAAAAAAATGAATCTTGATATCATTATTTTTTATCATGAGTGTTGAGATCTTAAAAGTGATCATGCTTGACACAAAAATATATATTTATTTCCGTCAAATAATATGTGTTTTTGAAGTCAATAATATCTGTAACATTTATTCATGAACTTTTTCAAGGTCATTTATTCATATATTTTTCTATTTTTAGGGGTGTTCATATATTTTTCTCGAGAAGAGGCAATTTGTCCATAAACGAGTCTAATTATTTACATTAGGCCTGGTCAGCAGTGAGGCCCGGTCCTCCGGTTGAATATGGGCCGCATCATCGAGTCAGGCCCTAGGCCCAAACCATCTTTGCTGCTGCTGCGTACTAGTGCGAAGCCACGATGTCTCAAAAAAAAAAAAAACTAGTGCGAAGCCACGGAGGCGAGGGTTTCGCCGTCAGACCTCGCCGCGGCGGTTTCTCCGCCCAATCCAATCACCGCCGTTTCCTCACAGCTCTCCCCTCCCCGGCCGGCGCCGACCTTCCTGGGCTCGTCGGCTCCTCCGAGCCCGAGGTACGGATTTGGGTCCACTCCTTTTCCCTCTCGAGCAACCTTGGTGAGCCAGCCGAGGCGATGCCGATTCGTCCACCTGAACTTGGTCGATTCCGCTCTGTAATGTCTGCGTAGCACCGGTTCTGCACCTGCTCTGTTACTTCCATCACGTACTGCCTAGGTCGACTTCGTTGTCCCGCTTGGCCCTGTTAAGGGAATTAGGCCGCTGTTGTGTGTGGATCTGGAATCTCTGTGAAATGCTAGAGGAAATAGCTTGGCTTGGTCAGTAAAATCTGTTCTGGAGTGTGCAGAAATTGTTATACTCGTCTGATTTGCTGGGTGGTATTTCCATATACGAGTTCAGTTCAGCAGAGGAATGTTCAGAGATCATGTGGGTTTGTTGTTCAGATTGGTATATTTCTAGATTATCCCCCCACCCAGCAGAAATTTATAGGGTTAGGGTGTTATTTTAATTTGAAATTCTTTGTATCAATTCTTTGTTCTACGGAATGGATGCAAATAGGATGCTGCTGCATTAATTTACCGTTTTAATGTGAATATAAGCACATAAAACTTTCGACACGTATAAATAACTTCAAAGTTTCATCACTGTTTCCTTCTATATTATTTTGTTACAGATGTTATCTGCTTGTATGTTCCACCCTGATCATAATTTTTTTTAGTTCAGCGCCTGCAGAGCCTCGAGGTTGCCCAAGTTGTGCAGCTGCGGTACTCGATGGAGGATCTCCCGGAGCCACTGCTTGCAGATATCATCAAGAGGATTACCGTGTCGAGTGATCTCAATTCTCTTTGCCTCGTGTCAAAGCGCCTCTGCGCCGCCGAGGCGGAGCATAGGAGTGCTATCCGTGTTGGCTGTGGTGTTGACCCTACAACGGAAGCCTTGACGTCACTGTTCTCCCGGTTCTCCAATTTGTGGAAAGTGGAGATCAATTACTCTGGTTGGACGCCCAGTCATGGGGACCAGGTGAACAACCAAGGCATCCTTGTTCTATCGCATCATTGCCCCTTGCTGTGTGATGTCACCTTAAGCTTCTGTGCACACATTGATGATGCTGGTCTTAGTTATCTAGCTTACTGCAAAAAGTTGAGGTCCCTCAAGCTGAGCTTTGCACCAGCAATAACTTCTACTGGGATTTTCCGAGTGGCCGTTAGTTGCTGCTATCTCTCTGTTCTCCACCTTGTTGACTGTATAGCAATAGACAACGTGGAGTGGCTGGAGTACCTTGGGAGGTATGGATCATTGGGAGAACTTGTTGTGAAGGATTGTGATGGAATCAGCCAGTATGACCTCCTAAAATTTGGTCCAGGATGGAGGAAGCTCCAAAGGTTTGAGTTTGAGGTTAATGGAACTTACTGGTTGAGTGAGCCCCGTGACCCCTCCTATGTGTCTGGCTACCCATATGGCTACGACCTCTGCTGTGATAGTTTGAAGGATCTTAGGTTGGCTCATATTATAACCGATCGAGAAATTGGGCTTCGTTTTCTACTGGGGAAGTGCAACACATTGGAGACACTTTACCTGGAGTATGTTATTGGTCTACATGAGAATGAGATGATTTCACTATTCCAGAGGTGCAGCAACCTTAAAACCGTCTCACTTCGACTCAAGCCTCTGCACTGTGAAGATTTTGAGTTTAGGACAGCACTGACTGATGCTAGCCTTAAGGCTCTAGCTGCCAGCTGCCCGATGCTTCAGGTTGTTGAGCTCACTTTCGCATTCTGCGAACCCGACTGGCCTACCGAAATAGGCTTCACACAAGAGGGTATTGTGACGCTCATCCAATCTTGCCCAATTCGCTCTCTTTTGCTAAATGGTGCCAGCATTTTGTATGACGAGGGGATGAAGTGCCTCTCATCCTCACAGTTCCTGGAGAAGCTCGAGCTCGTGGATTGCAGATCTATAACTGATGCTAGTATGAATTTCATTATTCAGGCTCCTTGCTTGAGCAATCTCACACTCCGCAAATGCAAGAAAGTGACAGATAATGGAATGGCTGCATTGGCACGTTCACAGAAGTTGGACTCACTGACCGTTATAGGCTGCCACTGGGTCTCTCACGAAGGTGTGCAGGGTGCTGCCAAATCAGTCCGCTACTCGGCAGAGATTGAAAGCCATGACAGCCTAAAAGGTATGTGCATCAAAAGGAATGGACGCAAGACATACCAATCGAGCATGGGTGTAGTCTTTGGTCGTTACTTTGACGATTGAAGCTGCAGCTATCATTTTCCTCTGATCGGTTCAAATGCTCTAGGTGTTAACTCTTACGTATTATGAACAGCCACCGTTCTTATTTATGATGTCTTTGCATTGTTTCTATTTTTAAATGTGTCCTTGCATTCCGAACTTGGCACCTTTTAGTTTTTATTTGTTTGTGGGGTTCAGATTTTGAAAGAATAACATGTTCTTTTGGCTGCTTGTGGGACACTTAAGGTTCTGTATCCCGATTCAGGCGAGGTCTTGCTTTTTCGGATTTAATCATCTTAGTATGGCTGCCCCCGTAATCGGGGACTTGTGTGTCCCTTGTTTGTAATTTATGCTTAATGGAATGTTTTGCCCAAAAAAGAGTTATCAGGTAGGAGTAGGTTTGTTTATCCTTTCTTTTTTGATAGTCTTGGATAGTTACGATAGTACTCCCTCCGTCCCATAATTTAAGAGCGTTTTTGACACTAGTGTAGTGTTAAGACGCTGTTATATTATGGGGTGGAGGGAGTAGCTTCGATTCTATCTCTTCGCGTTCTCCTGTCTGTAAGGTCTACTTCCTTTGATTGAGATATCCAAACATGGCACCCTTTTATTCTTAATAGCATGTTTATATACATTTTAGAAGCATATCAGGTTCCTCTGGCTGCTTGGGCAACATTTAAGGTTCAGGAGTCATTGAGCACATTAAGCCTGGAGATTAATTAGATCTGCTAACCGAGTTGCCTTACAGCGGTATCTGCGTTAGGCAGGAATTTTCATAACTTATCAACACGCGGATCTGAAACAGAGCAAAGGGATTATGAACAAGGACCAAACGCCTTTTTCTTACACTGAACATGCACGGTAATGGTTCATTGCAAAACGGCAGAGAAAACAGTGTTCATGCATGTAAGATTGTATACAAGGGCATCAGGCGTTACACAGAAGAACCAGTGAGCTGCGGGCTACATGTGAATGCTGGCCAGCACCCCGCATGAGTTTAAACTTGATGCGAGGACTTCATTCACAGCGGAGAACACTTTGGGTAGAGAAGATCCGCGAGACGATCGGACATATACACGCTGATGCACAACATTTCTAACACTCGGGAATCGGTCAACCCAGCGCCCATAGCCTGCAACCAGTAGAAAAGTAAATTTAGACGATGATGTTTCAGACCACACACACCAAAACGAGGGCCATGTTTTCTTCCTCCTCATATGTAAGATTGACAGACTATTGTGTTTACCTGTTGCGATTATTAGCTTTTGGTTAAAGTGTTCCATGTCGTCGTCGGGGATATCCTGTAGGGCAAATACAGAAAGCCACCATCAAGCAAGCACATCCAGGATTAGAGAGAAGAAACAAACACATCCCGAACTAGAGAAAAACAATCAAACACATGCCGCGGGATAATAAATCCGTTGTGGTAACGAGGAAACTTCACGACTGAAATAAGAGCTCCGTTTCGGTACACAAGCAAGCACATCCAGAATTAGAGAGACGAGACAAACACACCCCATATATTAGAAAAAATAAGCAAACACCTGCCCTGGGATAATAAATTCATTGTGGTGACGAGGAACCTTCACG